TATTAAAAAAAAAAAATTACACAGACCTTGGTGTTATGAATGTGACTGATCTTTCCCAATATTTCACGTGGGAAACCTAATTAAAGGGATATCATGGTTTAAGGGCTGATATATTTTCTCATGCAGTATGTGGAATATGTAAAAACCTGAATCAGATTATTTATAACTCATGAATATCATGACTTAATATTAATGTTATTAATCATATCGATCTATTCATGTGAAAAGAAAAAAAGATACCAAAAGAGTATGTATATCATAGAAAGCAATATAAGTGAGATGAAAACGCAACACGTAACGCAGTATTCGAGTCTATTCAAAATTTCCGATCATGAAATCTATAAATAATTCCGATTTTCAATTTGTTAGATATTTTTGAAATGATTGAGGATTTCATCAATATAATAATTGTTTAAACGAAAATATATTCTGATTTTTTAGTAACAACAAAAGAGGATATGTGACATGAGTATGAGGCATGAGTTGCAATCCGGCACCTCCTTTTTTTTCCTCACTAATTTTTATTCATTTCTCAATTATTCGGTATGTTCAAATGAACCAATTATTATGAAAAAGATCGCTAAATTTTAATTTTATATTTGAATGTGCAATTATCATAAATTGTTTTCTGGTAAAAAAAAAATTACCACAAATTGTTTCCCAATATTTTTTTAATCACGTGCTATTATGTGATGCTTTGAACTCCTCAATTTCGTTTTCCAAAGGGAGAAAATTGAAAAGTCAATCTATAATCATATTTATGGATCCGTTGGAAGCCCATTTGATTAATGGGTTGGACAATCTTATACATGGTAGTATATGTTGGGCCTCTCAATTCCAACATGGCCCAACCAGCTCATATCTGAGATGGCCCAAATTTAAAATTCTGAGCGCCCCGAGATGATTCCGGATGAAGGAGAGATGCTTTGGCGCGCGAAACCGTTGTGTAAAACATTCATGAAAACGACAATTTCAATTTATCTTTTATTGTGTTTCGAGCGATTACGACCGGATGGATCAGAGACAAATTTCACAGGTAGAGGTGAGATTCGAAATCCTGGCATTACCAACTCGCAAATGCTTCTTGCTCTGTGATTCATGCCCCCTTTCCGTTATATTGATTTTTCAGCATTTCTTAGGAACTCCTTCTGTTCGACGGGTTTCCTTATGATTGTTTCCTGAAATTAGTTAATTGGATTTCGCCTTCTTCTGAACTAACAAGAGACCACGAACACCAAGATGATACGGTTCTTGCCTTGTAAGACTCGATTTAAGCAATGGATTTTTTTTAGCAGCCTCGGAAACTTGTACATAGTGAAGATTAATGGACTTATGTGATTTTGACTAAACTTTGACAAGAAAATGATTGTTCATGCTAAATAAATTATGCGTGATTTTCTATCACGAATGATTGATGGGTTTGGTTTGCTTGAAAGGAAAAAGATTAATTGAGAGCATTGATTATTATGCAGCTTTGTCTGATGGATAAGTCGAACAATTCAAGGAGCTATATGTAGGTGATATTGAATTAGATAGCTCCTTCCTTTGAATGGAAAAATTTCGGATGCGGCTGTGCTCTGTGTATATGTGAACCTAATATGTATTTGTTCAGGACTTGAAGATCATTTTCAGATATTGAATGCATGCCTAAAGCTTTCCATGAGTAGCTTGAGCATCTGTCACAAATTTGGAAACCCATTAAGTGCATTAATGATAATGCTCGTGAATGCAGTGAGAGGTTGAGCCTACTCAAGATTAAGCTTAAAAACTTTCAGAAGTCGGTGTCATCAGATGTGTGGGCATCATTACATGGGGGGAACTGGAAACTATTTTCTCTAGTGAAAATGACATCTTTGCTAAACGCATGGTGTTATGATGTACTACCACAATTAACAAACTTGCATACCTGCTAAAAACCTCTCACAAAACGGGGGAAAAACACACACACAAAGAGAGGTTATTTGCTTTTTTCTTTTCTTTTTTTAGACATTATATTCAATGAATTCATGACTCACCTAAGCTATGCTTCCTACCTTATTGACCTTGGTGTTATGAAGCTTAAATACTATTTCTCTTACTGTCATAAAAATTGATGCATTTTTACTCTTGTACGATAAAGTGACGATTCTTCTGTAGTTAATTGGTTGCCTTCCTTGTAAAGTGGACACCTTATGATTTGATGTTACTTCTACAGTTCTACTAATCCTGAAATTATGTTCATAGTACCAAATTTCGCTTGCCAGAGTCGATCAAGTACGATTAAAGTACTCTAGAGTTTACTGAACATGGTTTTCAAATACTCACTCTTATACATTGCAATTGCAAATATTAATATCAAATCTCCTATCCCTTTCGTATTTGTAATTTGTGATGTTGATATATCAATGTTGCTGGGTTGTTCTCATCAGCTGGGAAGATCAGATGGATATTGCTGAATCTTGCCTGTGATACTGCTTGAACCCTGAAGACAGCCTATCTCAAAAGAAACTGAGTTGGTGCGAAAAGCAGTCTCAAAAATTCGGTGAAACTCGGGATTTTTCTGGCATACCATGAAACAACTTGAGATCATTGCCAATGATTTGACAGAAATGTAAAAGGCAAGTGAGATTGTGCGTGATATCTAATTAAGTGGTTTTTGTCATCGATTTGATGTCTTTCTGTTATTGATCACGTGGGAGTCGTAAATCTTTGACAAGCGTAATGGGCACAATTAATGGGATCATTTAGACTACGCTGGACCATTACGATGCCTAGAGCTGGCAGGGATCAAAGATTATTTAAGGAGGCGTCCCCACTGTCCTTCCTAGCCAATGCGAGTCTTGGATCCCCGAAAAATTTGCATTGCACACAGCCACACCCACACACACGTCAGCCTTTTATCATCGCGAAACTTTGCCTTTGTCCTTCCATGCTCCAAATCATTCAAAATGCCCTTCTGCAACCCCAGAGCCCCACCGCAATAAATTTCTCTTGTTCCCCTTAGATTACCATAATGCCCCCCCACTTTAAATGTCATGAAAGTTTTCAATGATATCCCTTTACTAGAGTGACCACTCTAAGTGTCCACTTTTTCTGTGAGCCGAAGTTATTGATCTGGGTAACTAATGACTCCGGAGCAATCATCATCTTTTAGGTTTCCCAGCTTGGTTTATCTTGGTGATCTGCTTTTGCTGTTCTCTAGTTGTACCACAAGTACTTAAATGAATTAGTAGGAAAATAAAGTTCCACATGATCTGGGACCGTGCACTTTGAATCATTTGTGCTTTATTGTCAATCTCATCAATTACATTATCTAAAGCTTAAGACTCCATAACTAATCTTTTTGACTCTATCCGGTATCTCATCCTAATTTTAGATTAGATGTTGTTCATTTAATTAGATGCTTTGGAATGGGACCGCCTTTATATGACATTATTGGACAATGGACATAAATAAATAGAGCAATTAAAAGATATTATGATGATGGGTATGCCTTAACCTTTCAGTCAGCAATTTTTGAGGCCTTCACTCAGTAACGCAAGGACTTATAAGTAATCACGCTCCATCGTCTTCGTCGCTTGTGTGATGAAGCCAGTTGATTTCCCTTCATTTAGCTAGCATTAAGGTCCCCTCTTCTCTTAGTAATTTGGCCGAGTGGTGACGAGAACAGGGCTGTGTTGAGAAAATGCTGACAAGAAAATGGAGATCATTTTTATTGTTTGAGTGAAGTTTTGGAAATTGGATTGTTTATTTTTAATCATATATTTGGACAGAGAATGATATAGCGTAAGAGTGCATATGAAGATTTACCTTTTCTATATATTAATTGTTATAGACAACAAATTTGTAACTACAGAATTTACTGGATTTGAATTTTTGGGAAAGAAAAACATATTCGATAAACAAATAGGTATTTAATTTTTAAACTTAAATTTCTTAATATAACAAGAGCCTTTATTTTTTTTGAGGCAACACTTAGTTATGAAGCACTCACGACAGAAGTTCCTCTTATGGCGTCTCTCTCCTTTATATTTCGTCTTTCTGGCTCCGATCTCAAATATTTGAGAATGAATAGGGGAGGTTAGAAAGAGATCCTAACATTTAAGCGGGTCAAACGAAATGATTCTCAGCGTCACATACGAATCAAGGCCAATTAGTCTGTGCTTTGAGATTATTTGACATTCTAGCTGACATAATCTCTTGATCTAATTAGCTTTGACATTTAACTTGATTCACCCACTCTTTACCGACAATGTCACATACAAATAGGAGCGACGAATGCCAGTACTGGAAGTGATTTCTGCTCTCTTGTTTGATCGTAGCGGATCTCCAGTGGATCAATATTGTGGTTGGTGGAAATATTAGATTGCTTGGAAGGCTGAGTTAGAATCCCCCAGTCAGAAGCTTCAGTTAACTTTTTGGTCAAAACTTGCAGGAAAAATGCCAACTAAACTTGTGGTGAAAAGCTTAGGCGCAGTAAGATAGATGCTTTATATGATTTACGCCTTTGAACGGCCACATAAATGAATCTAAGCTAGGATTCTAAAGTGAATCCTAGTTTTAGTTTGCTTCAGGCCACCGTTCTTCGCTATAAAAATAACCCACAAAAATGTTCATACTTGTCATGAAAGAGAAGTTTAATGGCTGTGATGGGTGAATGGGAAAACTCCAATGGACCCATATGGTGATAAAAATTAAAACCGGCCCTAGCCTTGCCATAAATTGTTGGTGACGCATCAATTGAATTAATGGCTATAACTTGGTGGCTCGGTTCAGTATTCGTACCACCATATCTTTTTTCCATCCCTTCTTCTTCTTTTATTATTTCCATCAAATCATTGTAAATTACCAGAGCAACCAGGCATATGCTACAGAAAATTGAGTTGGAATTTAAGGGTACTCCAGTAATTACCGACAGCCTACATATACTCTTGTCAAAATAATTTCATATCCCATCTATGCCGCTCACCTTTCTTTTCTTCTTCCCCCGTCCATCTCTTCATTTACGAGTCCAAGTCCTTCTCTTTCTACCGTTTCTTTAGTGCTATAAAAGATGAAGACAAGTTACTGCAATCTTTAGTGTGTACTTTTAAGAATGGGTCGATCACCATGCTGTGACAAGGTGGGCTTAAAGAAAGGACCGTGGACTCCCGAGGAAGATCAGAAACTCCTAGCTTATATTGAAGAACATGGCCATGGAAGCTGGCGAGCCTTGCCAGCAAAAGCTGGTGAACTTGCTCTTGCGCTGATTTATTTTTCTCATAAATTTTAGTAAAATGTTTGATGTTTGGAGGGTAGTTTAAGGTTTTAATTATCTTGAAACTTCGGCCATCTTGTACTATGTTAGGCCTCCAGAGGTGTGGCAAGAGCTGCAGACTGAGGTGGACCAATTATCTTAGGCCTGATATTAAAAGAGGAAAGTTCAGTTTGCAAGAAGAGCAAACCATCATCCAACTCCATGCTCTACTAGGAAACAGGTTCTGTAACCTTAACCCTTACGAAGTTATCTATATCTATCTATATGTTTGTTGAGTGGTGGGATATATTTTCGCTTAGACTCTCCAGTCCTGAGTAATTCGCCTTGATATTCAGGTCATTCTGTCCGTAGTTTTTTCTATCATGCTGTTTCTGAGTAAATAAATTCCAGATACAAGTTAAATTCATCATGGCATTTTCCTTTTTGATACTTTAATTATCGTTGAGAAATAATAGAATCTCCTTGTACGGTTTGACTGATGAACTTTGGTTTGTGTTCCTATTCCTTGTTTATACTCGTTAAATACACTACTGACTTTCAAATCGGAAGCTACAATTTCTTTATTTTCTACGCGCCCTTGTGCAGTATAGCAATGTCGCGTTGGCCTCTCAGTTTCTTCAATTACCCATTTATCGAATCCCCAACAATTAGACATCAAATTTGCTTTCTGCCATATCCATAAATTTACTCTGACATCCAGCAAGTTTGTTTGATACTGCTTTAAATGCGAAAACGAATGCATGTGAGTCTTTAATGTTCTTAATTCACATGTCATACAATTTGTATTGCTCCTCGGGCATTTTATATATGTTAAATAAAATAAATATTTGCTCGTGGTAATCAAGGTAATGAAAATCAAACCGGACTACTGAGCTCGACCAAAAATTAGTAGGTGCTTGTTCTGCAGGTTCTGATAGCTCGATTGACTGAAATAGTCATAATTAGACCAGTCAAACATGGTTTGAATTGTTTTTTTTCCCCAGAAAAATATTAAATATAACATTAGAATGGATGAATAATGTAGGATTACTCGCGTAATAGTAATAATGATTTCTGGAATACATGCAGCTTTCCTGTAATATTGCAGGCGTACTGCTAGTTTTGAAAATTCAAAAATCGTTATAATCACTTTATTTATTTGGATTATAACACTCCGTTTTCATTAGAATTGCAAAATAATTATTAGAAGTTTTTCTGTAGGCTGAATTCCAACCTTTTTCGGCGTATACACCCCTTGAATATTGAGCCTTGTACAATAGCTTTCCTTTGAAAATCCACAAATGATCTCCTAAACTTTCAAACTTGCAAAAATAATTCCTCTGTCAATAATTAGCCTATGATCTTACTAATAAAAAATACATGTCAATGACCATGTACTTCCTTTCTTTAGAAAACCTCTTAAATTTTGAATCATAAGTAGGTAATTCTTAAACTTTAACAATATGCAGATAAATCCTTCGCCATATTATATAGATATGCATATTTTTTGAATGGACATGTTACATTTTATCATTGATACAGCAGAAAAGTTAACTGTACGGAGTTCATTTACATAAATATAAAAATTTAGGAGGGCTTATTGATTTCTAAGAATAGAGTGATTAGCTATGCATAAATTGAAAGTCCAACGGAGCAATATAAAATTCAGCCTATGTTTATTTATTTTCCATGGGTTCTTTTACTATCAATCAATCAAATTAATAATATTAAAAACTCTAGCAACAGTTGCAGCTGCAGACATCGTTGCTAAAAGCGCTCTAGCTCAGCCTCTGGACCTACAGATTTTTCATGAAGCTGAGGCTGGTCGAGTGCTTCGTGACTCTGGCATTACTTAGTTGTTCTTTTTGTTTTTAGCTACTAGCTTTGGTTGTTTTCTTATCAAATTTTTTTTTTTTATAAGTCCCAGTTGAATGATTCCAGGTTTTGCTTCTTCTTCTTCTTTTTTTTCCCTTTTTTCTTTGAGTGGTGTGGGGGTTCTATTATGCTTTATTGTCCTGTACTCAGGTGGTCGGCTATAGCCACGCACTTGCCAAAGAGAACAGATAATGAAATCAAGAACTACTGGAATACGCATCTGAAGAAAAGATTAATCCAAATGGGAATTGACCCAGTGACCCACAAACCCAGGAATGAGGCCCTTGTGTCTCGCGACTGTAGCCAATCCAAGACTGCAGCCAACCTTAGCCACATGGCTCAATGGGAGAGTGCTAGGCTTGAAGCTGAAGCAAGGTTGGCCGGAGAATCCAAACTACGTTCATCACTATCATTTACACCTTCATCTTCTGCTTCTGCCTCAACTTCAGCTCACCCAGTTCTCAAGCCCTGGAATAATGTCGGGTGGCTGAAATTCACTGATCAAAGCATTAACGGTGGTGGTGACCTTGAATCTCCAAAGTCTACTCTAACTCTCTCTGAGAACACCCCACCTATTATGCCTATGATTGAGTTTGTGGGAACTTCTGGTTCTTGTGAGGCAGCAGGAATGGTGAAAGAAGAAGGTGATCAGCGAGAGTGGAACCACAGTAATGGCTTAGAGAATTCAATGTCTTATGCGTCTAGCCTGCATCATGAGTTGACAATTTCCAACACGGAAGGCACATGGGCCTCTCAAGAGCCTCTTCTCAGGATCGGTACTAGTGGGGATGTTGTTGCTGAGGATCAGGGATTCACCAATCGGCTGCTTAACACAGACTCTGACGATCGGAGCTTGTCAGATGAGGGCGGAGGAGAGTCTAACAATTGGGATGATAGTGACGGTGGTGCTGGCAGTGGCATCTTGTGTGAAGATGATAAGAACTACTGGAACAGCATTCTTAATTTAGTTAACTCTAATTCGCCTTCTCATTCCCCCATGTTCTGATTCAAAAGTGTGGGAGACCCATGCATCGCGATTTTCCTTTCCATTATCGTCGTAAGAAGAAGAAATCAGAATCTTTACAGAAAAACGGTAAGTTTGCATAGTGGTTCTCGACTTCTGGTCGCTTTTAGAATTCTCTTAATTAGGAATGCATGCGGTTGTCATTGTTTGAAAACGACCGGGGCTCTAGTGGAAATATCCCGCAAACTAGTCGTTATATTATCACCAAATGTTCATATCAATTTGGCTTGGTTCCACTTTATTTCTGTATCTCTGTGTTTACATCAAAGTGTGGATTCCCCGAGTTCAGCACGTGCTTCTCTAGGAAAACTGAAAGGTGATCATGCGTGTATTGTCTGACTTCTACGATTTGATACTCATCTTGCCCAATAGAGGAAGTATTTAATGCAGACTTTATGGGTTATTGCTGTTAGTTCCAGGTCATATTCTGGCATTTAAAATATTTTCAACCACAACATACTTGCGAATTTGGGTCTATCTATATACATGTTGATCATGCCAAAAATAAAAGATGAATGGATTAAATACATATTTTTTACCCTCCAGATCATCATATTCGAAATCAGTAACTTTGTTTGAAAGTTGGCCGAGGATAGTCTAGCTAATTTCATATACACAACACAGTTAATATGATACTTCTAGCTCAAAATATAACCATCAAATCTTGGAGAGGCGTGAATTTCTTTTATATATTAGTATCAAATTAAATTTATCTAATTATTTAATGCATTTTTCTAATTTTATTCGTGATTAACTGTATACTTCAGTTGTCTCTTTTTTCCATTCATTTTTTCTCATCTTTTTTCCACTCACTTTGATGAAGCAAAGAGTGTGAATATGTGAGAGTAAATACTGAAAGTGTGGTTTGGCCAAACAAAATACAGTGGGAGCAATTAACTTGACTACAAGGAAACTTAACGGAGAACATCCTTATTACGATGTCATAGAAGATGCCAGGAGACTAATAGCTAGTTAATATCTGATCTGCTTATTTGGATTTTCAATCTGAGGATTATGTACACAATACTGATGCTTCAGCTAGATTAGCTCACATTATTTTGGATTTTTTTTTGTAACCACTCTCAACCCCCACCTTCTTGTAAAGAGGTGGTGGTTGATGATAGGTAATGGCCCTGATATATTTTTTCTAAGCAGCCAATTAACATTTTCTAGACTATCTTCCTTCGAGTGCTCCTTTTTTAAGAGATTTCAGTACATCAAAATACAAAGCTATTCCCTTTCCACTTTCCTTTTAAAAAAAAAATATTTGCTTAATTCTTCAAAAGGTAATGGCTTTGTTCTTTTTATGATTAATGCAAAGCCAAAGCTGTGATTGCTGCTCGGGGGGTATGAAAATCATCTTGGAAACACCTATCTTCTACAGCATGTTGATCCATCTCTGGTAGCGATGCCCCATCGCTGGGTAAATTAAAAATTAGGATTTCTTTCTTAGTAGAGGTGTGACAGTCCACATTGAGTGATTAAAGGATTAACCACAACTATGTAAGTGTGTGGTCACTGGTGAGTCGTTCCAAAGTAGCTTAAACTATTTTGGTGTAAGTGACAAGCCTTCATGAGTAATAAATAGGAAAAATTACATTCAAGTCTCAAGTAAGAGAAATTATTACTCTATGGTCCCATGAAATCATCAAATAAGTGTGAAGTCCCAAGGGACTTGTGGGTAAAAGAATCAAATTGTGAAATTACCAAGCTGCTCTTACTAATTAGTTTAGTTGTTAATACATTCCGCGGTAGTTGTTAACATAATTTAGTTATCAATGATAAGCATATAGTGCAAGCGGACATTAGTTGTTAATACATACTGCAATAGTTGTTAACATAACCAATTTAGTTGTCAATAATGAGCATATAGTGCATGTGGACATTAATTGTTAATACATACTGTGATAGTTGTTAACACAACTGGTTTAGTTGTCAATGACAAGTGTGCCGTACAAGTGGACATTAGTTGTTAATACATGCCGCGATAGTTGTTACCATAACTGGTTTAGCTATCAATGACAAGTACATAGTGCGGGTAGACATTAGTTGTTAATATATGTTGCGAAAATTGTTAATATAACCAATTTAATTGTCAATGACAAATATGCAGTACATGTGGATATTAGTTGTTAATATATACTGCGATAGTTGTTAATATAACTAATTTAATTGTCAATAACAAGTGTGTAGTGCATATAGATATTAGTTGTTAATACATGCTACTATAGTTGTTAATATAACTGGTGTAGTTGTCAATGACAAGTACATGGTATATATTAACAATAGTTAATATATACTACGATGATTGTTAATATAGTTAGTTTAGTCGTCAATAAAAAATATGTGGTATAAGTTGATATTAAAGACTAACATATTTGGAAAGCATCTATTATATTTCTTTCATATAAGAACACAACTTTTAAATGGTGGATAAGCTCATTTGTAAAATGTTGAGAGTTGTATGATAACAAGAACTATGAAAGAATGAGTAGAACATCTAATTAAGTCATACAAAAATTTGTTTGTTGAACCTTGAAAAATCAAATATAAATTTATATGTTATGTCATAATATGATATATAGTTTCAATACAAGCGCTCTAAACTTCATTGCAATCATGCATATTCACTATAAAGATTTAATTTAATTTCATGAATAATAATGTCAAAAAAATAAATATTTATTACTCAAATAAAGTCATTCCTAGTTACAAAAAAAGGCACTCCTTGTTACAATAAAATTCATAAATAATTGAAACATCTATTTTTCTTTTTTTTTTAACCCATTTTTTTTTCAACTTATCCATCAGATCCTTCATTCTTCTTGTAATATTCATCTGCAAAGAGGGCATTACCAGAAAAGTTCGAGCTACTTTAGCCATCTTTTCTCTGTGTTCTCTTCACCATCTTTTTAACCCGTAAAAAAAAAAAAACCCAATTCCATCACATTCCAATATATCTTGATAACTTAAGTTGATCTCTTAGCTTTAACATCAAAGAGTAATACTTCAACTTCAGACCCTTTGTCCTCTTTCAACGTCTCTGATTCCTTTTGCCTATAAAAATACCATTTCATCATGGTAAATAATATAGAACAAGATTAGTAATGTTTCTTGAAAAAGATTAGATCAAGTAAATAAAGATGAACAACCTAGAATCCTACTTATATCTACATACCCAAATCAATTTATTTCCACACAATAATTCAATCACAAATCCAGTTCATGATACATTCGGAAAAAAAATTGCTAATCTTCACTACAAATTCATTCACAAGTCTGTATTCTAACAAACAAATTATACCAAGCAAAGCATGAATTATTATGAAAACTCTTTATTCTACCAAGCACTTTCTAAGATAAAAAGCATACTTGAACTGCAATTTCTGAAGCCCCAGCAGGAGGGAGTACGTTATTGAATATTTCTTGGTCTCTTGGATCTTGGTGAGCATGTTATTGACCATAGAGTGACTCCAATGCACTTCCCATGCCAAGCTACTTGTTTTACGAGAGTAAGATTTTGAACCTGACAAAACAACTTTGAACACATATCAATGTTAAAGCTTTAAAAAGAGCAGTCACATGCATGTTAAATTTCTTAGAACTTCATGCCTTCTCTTAGACATCATATAATTGTAATAAACATTATATGGTGTCCAAAAGAAGGCATATGTTATAAGGAATGCAACCAGTAAATTTCATTTAAATTATGTTGTAGTTTCATACCAGTTGACATAACCACCTGAATCTCTCATTAGTGTTATCTTCACAATAGTTTCATTATCATATGTCTATTACAATAGCCGCCATCAACATAACTGTAAATCATCATTCACCTCCCTAGCTAGCAGAAAGTGTCGATTCAACAATAGATAAAATTGAAATGCTCAGCTATATAGCATCAATTGGCCATGCTAAATTACCCAAACCATACAAGATGAGAAGTGTAAAGCTTGCATTCATGAGCTCCATTTTAATTTAGTGTATTGCATAATGCAAGAAAATTGTGAAATGCTCTCCTTTATACATAAAACCACCCCACCTAGAGAAGCAAAATCTAACTCTGTTTCTTATTACACATGGCAAAAGAAAAAATTGTTGAAGAACACCCTCCATGGCTCCACATATAAAGTACCTTTTAAAATTGAGCATTAGTTATGCAAAATCTGATGAAGATTTAAGGTTTATGATAAAATGTGGAAATTATCAATAAAGATAAATAGCCTACAAAGAAGTTAGTATGGCAACAATTTTAGGTTTTGTTAATTGTAAATAAAACAGCAATTAATCAATAAATGCTATCCATTTTTTTATGAGAAAAGTGATTCACAATGGCTTTTTTTAGTTTTAATTATTCTTTCCCATGATTTGATGTCATAATTATTTTTCTGAAAATAAAGATATGACGGAGGGATTCAAAATTCGAGAGTGGATGAATGGATCCATTACGTAAAAATCAGGATCAGCTTTCATAAATACTCATGTCCTCTCACATACAAGTACAAGGATTAAACTCTCTAATCATCTTCAAATACCAACTGGAACTAGTTCGTTGGGACAAAGCAGTGAAAAATACGTTATGAAGAAAGCATAGGAATGTGTTACCAAACAATCGAAGCTTTTTGAAAGGAAACCCCAGAGGAGTCTGTTTCCGATGGGGATGAACAGAGTAATGGCACTTCAACGGTGTCAAGTTCTCTTTTTCCAACGATGACAGTGACAGTGATGAGCTTTAACAAATTTTTCTTCCAATAAAAGTAGAGAGACTAAAGAATGAATGCAATTCAGGGCTCCATAATTCTGAATGATTTCTTCAAATCAGGGGACCATAAATCGGGGAATCAGGGACCCTGCTTCCTTGTCCATTACTGAGGGTAAGGGTAAGGGTATCTTTTCACAATTCCAATCTTTTACTCCCACATCCCCTGGGACTTGTCATATATTTGAAAAATTTTCAGGACTTTTTAGCAGTAATTTTTCGTGTTTGGGACCTGAATGTAATTTTTTCAAATAAATATTCCTCAGAGGAAGATATGTAACAAAGCTCGACCATCAACCCAAATGGACGGTTAATCTAAACTACACATAGCTAGAATAGCTATGAA